CCGTACTGTCTGCTGAGCTCTTGATAACCTACCCATGGCGCGATCTTGGGGATACGGAAGATATTGCCAACGAGGGGTAGAGGCGGAGGTCCGGGAGGCAGGGGTCCCGGGACAGAGGATGCTGATCTGTATAGGAAAATCAGGAGGATGGCTAGGGCCGCAAGGCCGGAAGACGCAACGAGACTGAGAGAGAAGATCATGATAGAGGCCGGATGTGGGGAGTCGATATGAGGACGGATGAGTCCAGTGGTTTGCCATCTGTGCTTTTAAGAGCCGCAATGCATTCAGTGGAAACTGCGCCCAGATCTATAGAGCGAGCCCAACTCACTGGTGATGTCCCCGACTCCCTCACATATGACATTTGAGCGGTTGGATAATCGATGAACACGCTACCGGTGGTGCCTTCTATCGCGCCCCATGCCTTCTGCGCTCTCACGCATCCTCTCAATCTTCAGAAAGGCGACAGATGCTCCCCTGTCCTGTGGGCGGTGACGGGTCAAATAAGCCTTCCGAGAGGGCCATCGTTACTGCGCTGCAGACCTGATACGTTGTGACGACATTCGCACTTGTAAGATCACGAATGACTGTGATACGAAAAATCTGAGGATCAACATACAGCCTTCCGCCCAAAGCGAAGCACCAAGACTTCCAAGCTTCACAGAATGGGCGTGTATCGTTCAGCGGGACTACCGGTGCTATTATCGGCCCATATCAGCGCCAAGGGTGAACACAGAAGTGCGACCCTGTGAAGATTTGGTCAGAGCGATTGAACGGTGAAGGGATGCAGAGGCTCACATGTGGCCCGCCTGACTTATTCGACACTGTTCTTCCGCACTAACCAGTATTGCAGGACGCCTGCTAGCCTGTGGACGCCATGAGGCTGTGATCGGATGCCATTCCGACCCTGAATTCCATTGTTCCATTCGTCCATTGCGTTTTCGGAGAAAGAGAGTTCAGCTCGCTATCACGGTATAGACGAGCTGCTATGGACGCTTCAGATGGTCGAGCTCTTGTCTACTTACGGTATTTCAGGACAAGGCGCCTGCTGGTACGCCACATGCGGTCAATGCGGCATCACACCTTCCTGAGTAGCTGTGGCAAGAATCATATGACGAAACAGAAGCCGATGGATCCCGGGAGAAGGGGATACTTATCCATAATACATAAGTATCGACGCCTCAGGAACGTAGTGCGAAGGATGTCCGGAGAGCACTCCAGACTGGCTTTTTTCACCCGCAAACCGTAGTCGCTTTTGCCACTTGCACTGATTCATGTCAGAATGCGGTTGGTACGAAGTCATTGAAGACCTTCGAGAATTCGGATGACTTGAGTGGCGCCCTATGCCGAGACCGATGGTCGCTGGTTCCGAAAACAAACTGGATTCGTAATGCGGCTATGTTACGATTTCAAACGCAAGGAAGATGCGTGCATAGTATGCTACAAAGGGAAAACATACAGTACAAGTACAGTGGTCGACGATCATGTCATCCCAGCCGCTCAAGCAATCGTGATCTTCTTCGGCGCTTGCTCGGGCGTCGTCCTCGGGAAAGTGACGCTCAGAACGCCGTTCTCCATCGTGGCCTTGATCTCCTCGGGCTACGAATCGACTCGTCAGTACCGGTCACATACACATTGTGCGATGGAAGAGATAGGCGACTAACCTTGCTGCCCTGAGGGACGGGGAGAGCCCGCGAGAATTTGCCGTAGCGGCGCTCGCGGACGGCGTAGCCCTTCTCGTCGTGCTCGGACGAGATGGAGGACTCGCCCGAGATGGTGAGGACGTTGTCGCGCAGGTCGATGCTGACCTTGTCCTTGGTGAGGCCTGGGAGCTCGAACTGGGCTGTCACCAGGTTCTTTTCTTTGTCCTCATGCAGGTCCATCCTGTCCAAACATACCGTCAGCAATTATTCAACGAGGACGAAGACGATAGAGCACAGAGGTAGCGTGAAGAGAGGAGTTGAAACGTACCTTGGACGCAACGGTCTGGACGCGGCGTTCTCGTTCTGACCACGCTGGCTGACCGCGTTCGACGTGCGTGCGTTGAACGCTTCGTCAAAGAGCCGATCGAAGTCAGAGAGGGAGTAGAACGGCTCGGTGAAGAAGGTGAGAGACATGTCGGAGGTGGTGCAGAAGCGTGAAAGGGTGATGGAATGGCTTAAGAGGTGCGAGAAAGTGATGCGAATGTTTGTTGGAGAGACAGGCAGAGAGGATGCAACGATATTTATCTTCTGTGTGGCTAATTGACGTGGTCGGGACGCTGAAAGTTTGAGAACAGGCTAGTTGCCAAAGTAGAACGCGACACGCAACAGAGGCATTCTTGAGCCGGCAAAGACGCAGAATGACGCAGACTATGCGGTATGTCCATTGCCACTCGAGAACGTTTGTGGATCTTCCAGTTAAGAATGGGCAACTCCAGAGCGTCGATTCGCAGCCTAGGCAACATAGCAAGTCTAGAATCCAGATTCTGAGTTCATCTACGCTTTCGACGCTCCATGGGCCGACAGTAGTGCGACTTATGACCGACTGTATGACAAGAGCGAGAGCAGAGCTGACGATAGACTCGGCGCTGCACCGACGGGATCCGCCGGAGTTGATGGCTGTTTGTTCTCTTTTCCTGATTTGCAGCTCAACGCTGAAAAAGCGCCCATTCTCGATTGTTCTCGTAAACTGCGCTCACGACAGGCATTGGCCAATGTTCCGGACCCGAACTGGGACAGAGAAATGGCCTGGGAATGGATGCCTGTCACAAGTAATGTCCCAAAGCCTAGCTCCGGACCTGAGCCAGCGGGCGCTCTGATACCATATATAGGATATTGCCACTCCAGAGCCTCCAATAAGGAGCATAGACGCTTATGTCATGCGCTCTGTCAGCACTAGTATTCCTTTTCAGGGATTTCAGCGCCCGCTGGCTCAGGTCCAGAGCTAGGCTTTGGGACATTACTTGTGACAGGCATCCATTCCCAGGCCATTTCTCTGTCCCAGTTCGGGTCCGGAACATTGGCTAATGCCTGTCGTGGCTGCCCCTTTCTTGCGTTGACTAGCAATTTCCGTAAGCCTTCGCGCTTTTTCTGGCACTGTCCTAAGAATGCGGTCATGGGTCTGCAGAATGGATATAAAGCAGAGTCTGTTGACCTTCGCTTCCCACTGACTAACGATCACACAACACTCGCATAACTCGGCATAGCTCTTCTGCTCCTGACCGCACTTGTCTCTTACCACATGTCGCTCGTCAATTTCTTCAACAACGACCCCTTCTTCTCCGAGTTTGACCGCCTCTTTGACGAAGCGTTTGCTCGTCGCACCGGCGGTGGCAACACCCAAGTCCAGCGTCAGTCTGGCAATGACGCGCCGCGCGTTCTCCGCCCAAGGTAAGCACCATTGTGTTGCCTCAACTGCTTTCGAACTCTGTCACTTACTTGCACTTCTCAGGATTGATGTACACGAGGACAAGGAGAAGAACGTCGTGACCGCGACGTTCGAGCTCCCGGGCATCAACAAGGAGAACGTGAGCATCGATGTGCAGGACAACCTCCTCACCGTCTCAGGCGAGACAAAGTTCGAGTCGAACCGCGACGAGAACGGCTACGTCGTCCGGGAGCGTCGCTTCGGCCGCTTCTCGCGTTCACTCCCGGTCCCTCAGGGCGTCAAGGTTAGCAATCTGCGACGTATGGAGGCTGCGAGCATTCGGCTAACTTGCGCATTTCTAGCCTGAGGAGATCAAGGCGTCCATGGACAACGGTGTGCTCACCGTAACGTACCCGCGCCAGACTGCAGAGCAGCTCCCGAAGCGGATCACCATCTCATAAATGCGGACTTGGAGATTCCCCCACATTATCTGCAGCATACCCTCGTCGACATGCTTTCGCTGAACCACTGTATGTTTTCGATTGCAATGATCAAATAGTTTATGGGCATAGAGTGTAGTTAACCCAAATTCCTTGGGTGCAAGCAAAGGTTGGAGGCGTGCCGGACCGTGTTTAATGGCCTCATAGTCGATGTAGAGACGGAGGAGCTTATGCTGTCGTTCATCGCCGCGATGCATCACCAGATTAGACCGGGAGTCGCTCCTTTTGGGGCACAAGACGGCCTGAAAGCTGGGCACAATCGACGGGAGGCATAGAGCCCGTTCAAAGTCTGATATCGAGGGAGAACAAATGCCAGTGGCGACTTCAGGTTGCAAAGAGTCCGACTGATGTGTTCCGCATCCTGGCTGTGCGCTCGTTCTCACCGCTGACAGTTCGCATTCTCACCGCAGTCATGCATACCAGATGAGCTCCTGTCGCTCGAGTTATCGAAGTCATGCGGTAGCTTGAAGAACGTGCGAGCTTGCCCACAGAGTAACCCGAGATTAGGTTTCAACACAACGCGTAAACCGTCATGCAAACCGGTGCTTGGGCGCTTCCTCATCCTTGCTCTTAGCGACATCGACGCCCCCGCCTCCTGACTTAGCAACTTCTGGTTAGCGAGATCTTCGGGTCCTTCTTGGTCTACTACAATGAGCTGACTGGTTTTCTATCAAGTCTCTTCCACCTAACACCTTCTGAGTGCCACATCTCAACGCTAGGACCCGAAGCTGCAGCAGTGAAAAATGCCAGCGTTGCCCGCAAAGATTGGAAACGGGGGTCTGGTCGTCCCCCAACCTATGCGAGATCTTATAGACATCCCTGGACGGCTCCAGATTGAGCAGGGAGGTCAAGCTTTGCGCACCCTCTACCAGAGGAGTGAGCCCTGTTACGTCATCCCGCAAGTCTTTCGTACTGAGCGCCACTATCCCATTTGCAGACTCTATTGGCTTTCAGTACAAGCTACTCAACGATTTTGCTCAGAAATGTTTTCTTGGAGACTTTAAAGGAGTAAGACGGGTACGGGGTCTCTCCTTGTAAGGACATCTCTAGTGCCCATGCTAACAGGTTTTCGTCGAGTAGATGGTAGAGGGAGGGAAGGCCCCGCCACTTGACGGAACCGAGACTCCGTACGAGTATGGCTATGCCATGCTCGTCGTTAGCGGCGGCCAACGCATGATCGGTGGTCCTTCAGGCGTGAAGGTGGACCACAAAGCGACGCTGCGGTACCTCCTCGAGCACGGCGCTCCACCGGACGTTCCTGACATCGTCGGCTACACAGCATTGCACCACGTCTGCATGGCACACTCTCGCCCTGACCTCGCACGGATCCTTCTAGAGCATGGCGCAGACCCGAACTCACAGGACAAGTTCGGCAGTGTGCCTCTGATGGGCGCGTTCCAAAACAACTCGGTGGATGCCGTCGAAGTTCTCTTGGAGTTCGGGGCGAAGCTCGAGATCGAAGATGCCGACGGATGTACTCCAGACCAGTTCTACATCAAGTGCGGCCCGACTATCACCGCCGCGGTACAGAAGTGGAAGCGGAAACGATCCGGGGAGAGCACGGCAATGGACGAGAAACGGTGTGCGGCGTGCGGGTCGAGTGCGGGCACACTGAAGTTCTGTAACGCGTGCCACGCCATCAGGTATTGCTCGAAACAATGCCAGAGTACGTTTCTTGATACCGCGTGGCATACGCGAGCGGCTGATTATCCCTATTATTCGTCCGCGATAGGATCACATTGGTCTCTACATAAGACTCGCTGTATACCTTTCAGTGCAGATTCGACCGTCACGCTGACCCCATTCTACGAAGACATCGGGCCTGTCATGTCTCTCGCTGACGTCGCTCGCTCCGCGTTCGGCTTCCCTGTGGAGAAGCAGCCCGCGCGAAATGCCCGCTCTGTGCAGATCCCGTATATCCGCCCAGGAGAGACGAAGAAGATCATCATCAAGGTGCAAGTCCCGTTCAGCCTCGAGACTGGAGGTCCAACAAAGGAGGAGCTCGGCGATCTCATGGTGTACGACAAGAGGAGAAACTTCGTTTGCCGGATCAGAAGAGCGGACGGGGAGGACGGGTACTTGAAGCTCTCCCGGAGCGTCCGGGCGTATGGTGTTGCCGGCGCCAAGGCCTACTTCCCGGCGGAACTCAAGTCCAAGGACGAGCTCATCGTTAAGTATAAGGAAGTTTTAGGAGAGCAGCCTTTCTGATCAACGTCTCGCTTTCTCATCCAATGCCCATGTTCCTTGTGAATTGATTGTTCTCAGATTGTAGATTGCAATGCGCTTCAGTTCAATGCTCGATGCATTATTGTACCGCTACCACCTCCTGCCGTGTATCCCTATCGCCGTCGTACGAGCCCGTTTCACTAGAATCCGGGAAGGCCGTATAGCATGCCTTCCTATCTCCGCACAATATTGTACGTGTAGCTGTCGTTTCGTCTCGTGATGCTACAGATATATATGCCTAAACCCTATCCTTTTCCAGTTCCGGAAAGGCATACAAAGTCCGAGAGACGCTGTGATCACAGGACGCAGAAGTTCGAACTTAGACTGAAAAGAGTGACTCCCTTAGGATCTGACGAAGATAAGCGAGGTTGTGCTTCAGTCATCATATCGCCACGTCGACCTGTTCCTGCTAGCACGCTCCGTCGTCGGTACAAACTTGACTCGAGCTAGCTGTCCTGCTACGCCAAATACATCATGCCGATTGTGTGGACTCCACTCGTCTCAATCGAGGTGCTTGGCTTCTTGATCGCCTCGATCGCCCTCTATCGCCTATGGTTTGCGCCACTTGCACGACTCCCGGGCCCGCCGATATGCGCAATCACTCGCCTTCCCCTTATGTACCACGAATTCAGCGGGAGCAGACGCTTATTCATTCACGGCCTGCACATGAAATACGGGCCCGTCGTGCGCATCGCACCGAATGAAGTATCCTTTGCTACACGCCAGGCAATGAAGGAGATCTACACTTCGGGAGGGAGCGGTTACGACAAAACGTCTTTCTACTCTTTGTTCCAGCATTTCGGGACGAAGTACGTGCTCTAGAAGATTTCCGCCGCAAATCAGCTCACCTCTGGTGGATACTTACTGCACGATATTCCTCAGGAACATGTTCTCCACTCTGGAGAAGGAAGAGGTGCGTGCTGCATTCACCGGAATCCGTGGATCTTGACGACAACGCATCTTTGTTAGCACGCGGCCGTCAAGAAACAGTTCGCAGAGCGATATAGCAAACTCCACGTTATGAAGCCGGACGTTTCTTCTGTGATTCAACAGACCGTCGACGCCTTCGTCACAAGGGCGACCGAGCACGTTGGTGCGAGCGTCGACATCTACGTACGATGCCTTCCCTCGTGTATGCTGCCGCATCTCGGTGTTTCCTGATGTATTGACTTGGTCAGGACCTACTCCATTGCTTCGGGCTTGATGGAGTCACAGGACATTTATTTTCTCCCTCCGGACTGCATTCGCAAACTAATGACGACGATCATGAGCTCATGAAGCAGCTGGCATACCCAAGTGACTTGAAAAGTATGCTTCATCTACAGTTTCGTTACCTCAAATCCTCGCTCACGCCTCTCCCTCAGGAGCGTACTTCCGCTACTACTTTCCCACCCTCTGGTGGGTCTACGAAAGGCTCACTGGCATCAACAAACTACGTGGCGACACGAATCTCATAGATGCCTACGTGCTCAAAACGTTCCACAGCGGGTCCGTGGATCCACAGACAGTCCTCCACAAGCTCCGCATCGTCGATGCCCGCGACCCCGGCCGTCCCATGCTCCTCTCCGTGTCCGAGTGCATGGACCACATCATAGCCGGGATTGATACGACTAGCGATGCGCTCTGCTTCCTCATGCACCATCTCTCGCTGCCCATCCCCGCGTCGCGACGTGTGCAGGAGAAGCTTCACGAGGAGCTCGTGCAGAATCCTGGAAAATCCGTGGACGACTTACCTTACCTTGACGCCGTGATCAAGGAGGGTCTGCGGCTGCTCAGCCCTGTCACTATGAGCTTCCCGCGCGTTGTACCCGCCGGCGGGCGGGTTGTCGATGGTGTCCAGCTGCCAGGGGGGACCATCGTGAGCTGCCAGCCATACACTCTGCATCGGTTCGACACAGAAGTCTTCCCCGATCCGGATGAGTTTGTGCCCGAAAGGTGGTTGGCCGCAGAGGGCGCGGTGGAGCGGAACCAGCTATTCTTCACTTTCGGTGCTGGAGGTAGGGGGTGTATAGGAAGACAGTAAGTCACCGCATGCCGCACATTCAGAGGGAACACCGCTTACCCATTGAACTGATGTGCGTCACATAGTCTGGCACTGCTGGAGATGAAGCTGCTTGTGAGAGACGTGTACTCGACGTACCGTACCCGCGTCGCCCCAGACATGACTGCCTCGATGGAGCCGGACGACCAGTCGATATCGACCCGACCTAAGGATCAGAAGTGCCTGATTGGTTTCGAGAAGCTGGACATCTGATCACTACCTGACACGCTTTGGATGAAAGTTGTAGGTTCCTAGACAGGAGCAACGAATGAAGTGAGTCGAGACTCGACCAATGTACTTTACGCGCTATGAGAATTGTGCAGCACACTATGCCTAGCCCATTACCGCTACCTACCAGATAAATGCCAAGTAAATTGAACCCACGGTAGAGTATACAGTCGAGGATCTCACGCAATTCTGTCAGAGTCGGACTTATAGCGAGTCAGGGCCTCAGTAAGCTCCAGCCTAGCTTACCTCGACGCCAATCGAAGCCTGGACGAGCTGCATCTTCCGAGCTTGGTTGCCGATAACATATAGAGTACACAATCCAGGCAAATACGTTATCCGAGACGCCGAAGGCTTATCATAATCATCTCAGATAAAGGACCACGGCGGCGCCACGCGCTCTATCGCGTTCTCGAGCCGAGGACCAGTCATACTCAGCCACCATGACCTCCCTTCTTGAACCTCGACTCGAAGGCGTCCTGCTGTCTCCTTTGCTACACCAGAAGCAGCGCGCCGACTATGGGGACCCACGTCTGGGTGGAGGTGCTCGGCCTATTGATCGCCTCAATAATGCTCTATGGCCTATGGTTCGCGCCGCTCGCACGCCTACCTGGCCCGCTGATATGCGCGATCACTCGCCTTCCCCTCATGTATCATGAGTTTAATGGGAACAGACGCCTGTTCATCCATAGCCTGCATCTGCAATACGGGCCTGTCGTGCGCGTGGCCCCGAATGAGGTCTCATATGCTACGCGAGAAGCCGTCAAGGAGATTTACGCCTCAGGAGGAAGTGGTTATGATAAGTCATCGTTCTACTCGTTGTTTCAGAACTTCGAAACGGGGTGAGTATCTCGAGAAAAATGTCGCTGCCTTTCTCATTCCACAACTTTAACTCTACAGGAACATGTTTTCCACTCTGCAGAAAGATGAGGTGGGTGCGACATGACATTGAGGTTCAGGGGTCGCACCGAAAACACTTCTTGATTAGCACGCAGCCGTAAAGAAGCAATTTGCCGAGCGGTATAGCAAACTTCATGTCCTGAAGCCAGAGGTTTCTTCTGTAATCCAAGAGAACGTCGATGCATTCATAATGAGAGTGACCGAGCGGCTCGGCGCGAGCGTCGACATCTATGTATGGCGCATTCCATTTGCCCTACTGTCTCTAGGCGCGGCCTCATTGGCCTGATTTTACAGGATCTCCTTCATTGTTTCTCCCTCGACGGGATTACCGGGCATCTCTTCTACCCAAGTGGGCTACACTCGCAAAGTGTTCCAAAGGATCACAAGCTCATGGAAGAGCTGTCCTACTCAAACGGCTTGAGGCGTACGCTCAGTTTCTCCCTTCATTGGTGCAATCATCCGTGACATTCAGTCCGCAGGGGCATACTTCCGCCACTACTTCCCCGCCCTCTGGCGGGTCTACAGCAAATTTACAGGAGTCACCAGGCGCCGCGGCGACACAGGTCTCGTCGATGCTTACGTTCTCAAGACAACGCGCGAGGCCACCGTCGATCCGCACACGGTCCTCGACAAGCTCCGCACCGCCGACGCCCGCAACCCACAGCGTCCCGCACTCCTTTCCGCGTCCGAATGCATGGACCACCTCGCGGCAGGGATCGACACGACGGGCGACGGACTCTGCTTCCTCATGCACCACCTCTCCCTCCCTACCCCCGCGTCGCGACGTGTGCAAGAGAAGCTCCACGAGGAGCTCGTGCAGAATCCCGGGAAGTCCCTAGACGACTTGCCGTATCTCGACGCGGTGGTCAAAGAAGGGCTGCGCGTCTTCAGCCCGATCCCTATGAGCTTTCCGCGCGTCGTGCCCAGCGGCGGCCGGGTCGTCGACGGTGTTCCCTTGCCCGGAGGGACGATCGTGAGCTGCCAGCCGTACACGCTGCATCGCTTCGACACGGACGTCTTCCCCGATCCGGACGAATTCGTGCCGGAGAGATGGCTTGCCGCAGAGCGCGCTGCGGAGCGCAACCAGCTCTTTTTCGCGTTCGCTGCTGGAGGTCGCGGATGTATTGGAAAGCAGTAAGCGGTCTCTCCCGAGATCGATAGCCGGCGTTGGGCCTCCTTGCTGATGAGCCTGTTGCAGTCTGGCATTGCTAGAGATGAAGCTACTCCTCAGAGACGTATACTCCACGTACCGCACCCGCGTCGCCCCGGACATGGTAGCCTCAATGGAGCAGGACGATCAGACGATCTCGTCCAGGCCCAAGGGTCGGAAGTGCTTAGTTACATTCGAGAAACTCAACTACTTCTAGCGACTGCCAGAGTACTCTTCAGGCAAACCAATAAAGATAAGTAGCTTCATTGGCCAGTAACCGGGAGACAGTACAGATTGCGAATATACACAAGTACTGATACAACGACGAGGACTGTACAAAAATATCCAGGTAAATGCATATGTATACCAGAACCAGGTGCCGATGCATTGGAAATGTGTACAAATGCAGCGAGAACATGGCGGAGATGTGACCGATAGCTGACGACTACATAAATGAGGGGACAGCGGGGCGAGACCGGAGTAGTGTAGACGTGAGATAGACATAGACTGAATGAAAGAGATGAGGTCGGACCCATAAACAACAGATTGTGATGAGAGCATATGTACTAGTAAACAATACGCAGTAGCCAGTGAGATGAGGGTATCAAATGAACGTGCTCATGACAGAAAAAATCGCCACGCAAATAACCTAACCATATATACTATGTACAGATTCGTCAGCGTAACCAGGCCCAGGAGAACCAGAGAAACTGCAGCTTGCGGACTAGTCCGCGAGCCTCGCGGTCCGCCCACAAGCGGCTTATACCGCCCATTGCCTCCCGCCCGTGGCCGCCCCCAAACTCTTGCTCCTCGCACTCTTGGCCCCTCCCGGTATGGCAATGGGCGTCGCGGACGCAGCAACACCTGTCGCGCATCCCTGCCCATAGAACCCCTTCTCCTTCCCCATCGTCATCGCCGTCGCCATGACCGGGGCGCGCACCCACGCCGACGGCCGTGTAGGCGACAACGCAGGCGGCATACTCTCATTGCGCAGCACCTTCCTCAACTCGTCGCGCGACCGCGAGAACGCCCGCCCCCGCGACCGCGACGCCGAGCCCGACCCAGAGCCCGACGCGGGCGACGAGTGTGCGTCGTGGCGGAACCGGAGGCGCGCGCGACTGCGCGGTTCCCTGTCACTGTCCGCATCGACGTCGACATCAGGGCTGATCGGCCACCGCACGTCTTCGTCCACGGTGTCTAGCTCCGGCAACGACTCCTCAATGCCTAGCTCGGGGTTGCTGATGGTAGGTCCTGACGCGGAGGCCTTGCGCCGCCTCACAGCGTCGAGTGACGTGTCGCGCGGCGTCGCGGGCAGCGTCTCGTTCGGGCTGCGCGAACGCGACATTGACACATCCGCATGTAATCGCGGGCGCGGCGCTCGTCCGCGCTCGGATATGGAGTGAGTGGGAGCAACGGGGCTAGGCGGGATCACTACGGCGGAATCGGCACTCGATCCGTCAGAGGTGCTCGAACTCGTGCGCAGGATCGCGTCCGAGAGTGAGGATAGGGACGGCTGCGTCGGGGTGGGGTGTGCGGGGTGGTTTGAGGTTTGCAGGAGCGGGTGGTGGTACGGATGCTCATGTGGGGACCTTGACTTGCTCCTGCTGGCCGAGCGGACCACAGAGCTTGATCGGTTGGCAGACCGCGCAGCACGAGACGTGGACCGGCGGCGCTCGCGGTCGTCCACGGGGGCGTAGTCCTTGCGCGTCTTGGCGGGGGACCGCGAAGGCGAGCGCGACGCCATTGCCTGCTCTGGGGGAGGGGTGACGTCGTCCGCGGCGGAGCCCCAGCCGATGCCCCACGCAACCTCGTCGACCATGGCGACAGTCCACCGGTTCGGCACCGAACGCTCGATGCACCCGCGCAGGGCCTGTTCAGCACAGCGTCCGATGCCCTGCGGCATCTCAAACGCGCCTGTCCGATAAGCATTTACATCAGCCCCACATTCTTATCGTTGGCCCGTCGGCTTCTGCAGGAACTATCTTACGTACCATGGAGAATCTTCATCTGTAGCCGAGGCTCGAACGAATCGGAGAAGGGCAGCTTCCCGGTGAGCAGGGCGAATAGCATCACGCCTAGCGCCCATATATCTTGTGCAGGGTGGGCGGCGTATGGGGTAGTGCTACTTGGCGAAAGTAACAGTTCAGGGGCAGCGTACGGCAGCGACCCGGGGGCGAAACCCCGGTTCGGAAGCGGTGTTGGGGAACCCGATGCGGGGTAAGGACTCGAGGTGCGATGGCGCGTCGGGAGCCCCTGGCGCAGTCTGAGGGAAAGGTGCGGGGGGAGCTTCCCCGTCGCAGACCTACCAAGCGATCGGTGAGTGTGTGCGGACGATGGCGGGTGGGCTTGGGAGAGCGTGCGCGTTCTGGTAACGCCGTCACCGGCGTCGGGCTCGACGTCGTCGTCGTCGGTCTCGCCGATCTTTCGTGCCATTCCGAAGTCGCCGATTTTACAGACACCCATCTCGTCTACAAGCACATTCTCCAACTTCAGGTCCCCGTGCACGAACCCCGCCACCTCGTGCATGTACCGCAACCCCCGCACCACCTGCCTGAACATCATGCCCGCGTCGTCTTGCGGCAGCGCCGGCCGCCCGTCCCGCTTGAGAATGTCAAAGAGACTCCCTGCAGGACAGTACGCGGTGAAAAAGAAGTCGGCGTACGGGGTATGGTTGACGGTGAAGAGCGGGAGGATGTGTTCGTGATTGAGAGAAGCCCACACCTGTGCTTCCCGTTCCAAGCTCTTGCGCGCCAAGGCGGGGTCAGGCTGCTTGTCAAGATCCGAATGTCGGACAATTTTGACAGCGACAGTCCCGCCCTGCGTTGAAGATGCGGTGCGGATGATGGAGAAACCGCCACGGCCGACGATGGGACCCAAGGTGTACCCAGCTACGAGCGCACCTTCGTCGTCCGGAGCAAGTGAGAGCTCAGAGACAGTAGGACTGAACGCGGACAAGAACATTGCAGCGGGAGAGGAAGAAAGATCCACGTCCGGCAGATCGTCCACAGGTAGAGGGGATACGATGGGCGATCCGAAGGAGAGCGGAGGAGGTGCAGAGATCGCCAGGAAAGGCTGTGGAGACACCGAGAGACCTAGCTGCGAAGAGAGCTTCTGGTCAGGGTCTAGTTCGTCAGTGCTGCCGTCCTGGTGAGCAGCGGGGAAGGTGCGTGAGCCTGACTCTGCATATTCGAAAGGAGCAGTTGGTCGGTTTTGACGAGGTCCATCATAAGCGGTCCCGGAAAAGTCGTGGGCTTCGACCGGGGTAGAATAGTGCATAGATCTTTGGAGCTGCCTTGTTTGTGTGTCTGGTGAGTGCGATGAGTGTCGAGAGAGGACAGATGGAGGACGTCGAGAGATGAGTATGATGGTGAGAGCAAGAGTGCGGGGCAAGACGGAAGACGGGAGGCCTAGCGGCGTCTGAAGCGCCAAGGCGTATATTACATAATCACGCCATTTTCGATCCATCCGATGTTCTCGGCAGTCTGTCGAGCTCCACGCACGAGCGAGGATAAGCACGATGGTTCGCAGCAGTAATAGTGGGCGGTGAAACGGATGGGCCATCCGACGTTCACCTGAATATTACAGAGGCTTGTAGCGTGATGTCATAGATTCGACGCCGTCTTCCTGATCGAGCAACAAGGCGACGTCCAAGTCAAAATGACGGAGTTCGATCCGACTTGTCCGTCGAAAAGAACGTTTGTAGTTGTAGTACGGTACAGGACAACTCACAAACGCGTCCTACACGCCCGTCCGCCAACTTCCTGCGCCGGAACGCTCTCCGGCATCGTCCTCGTCCGGCACAATGACGCCGCCATCGTCGTCGAAAATGTCGTAGCCCAGGTTGTAGCGCTTCGACGGGTTGACAACCCGCCGCGGCTCGTGTGCCTGAGCAGCCTTCTCTAGCTTGTTGAAGAGCTCGTCTGGAAGCTTGCGAACTGCAGAAGGTTAACGAATAGCCTTCAATGGACCTCGCTAGTGACGTACCATGGAAGTTCTCCTCGACGCGGGATGGCGTCACGCTCTTTGGGAGAACGACAGTCTGTGTGGCGCAGGTTAGGGCGACGTGAGGAGACCTGATGAACGTGCTTACCCCGCGCTGGACATGCCACGAGATGATGGCTTGAGCAGGAGTTATGCTCAGCGCCCTCGAGATTTCCTTCACTTCTGGGACATTGAACGTCTCCCTGACCAGGTCGCTGCTGCCGAGCGGGGAGTATGCCTCAAGGAGCAGTCCATTTTCTTTCGCCCACTAAACGCAGACAATTGGAGTATTCGCGCAGAATCAGAATGCCGGAAACATACCTTGACCAGATCAGGCTGCGGGTTCCAGTAGCTTAATTCGACTTGATTAATGGCTGGCTTGTACTTCAGGGGGTTCGCCGTCAGGTTGCGCAGCCTCGGAATGTTGAAGCTGAGATGATGTGAGCACCAGACTCGCGAGCAGGGCAAGCAAGAACAACACATACTTGCTGACACCGATATTTCGGACTTTGCCCTTATCGACTAACTCCTCCAGCTTCTGCCATGTCGGGTACGGGTTCGCCGTCAGGGCTTCGTCCACTTCGTTGTTCGTTCCCTTCTTCAAAGCAATTGGCCTAAGGAGCGTCCCGCCGATCAATCCTGGGTCGTCGGCAAAGGTCTGCGCGACTTACCAGTGAATGAGGTACAAGTCGAGGTAGTCTACGCCGAGCGCCTTGAGCGACTCATCGAGGGCTGGCTCGACGTCTTCGGGTGCGTGGAAGGAGTTCCAGAGCTGCATGCTTGCACTCAGCACCTGCACTCGCACAACGCGTGCATGTAACGCGCGACGCACCTTAGACGTCAACCAGACCTGGTCCCGCGGCACGCCGCTCGCCTTCAGCGCCTTGCCAACTTCGTCCTCGTTCTAAGTGGGTAGCACAGATCGACGATCAACGTCACCTTCGAGATCGACACGGACATGATGACCGACAACTCACACGATACGCCCACGCGCCGTCAATGTGCCTGTACCCGGCCTTCAGGGCGGCCGTAACAGCGTCCCCGACCTGGTTCGGCGGGGCCTGCCACACACCTGTATCCAACCCTCCGTCAGCCTATCTCTCGTTGCATCGAGGCTCACCGAACGAGCAGCCGTACCGAGCGCGACAGAGGGGATCTTGTCCCCAGACGGCAGAGCAAAGTGAGTCGGAAGCTCAGATGCCCCCGCTGCAGCGGTGTAGTTGCGGAGCTTGCCCGACCCGCGACACGGCGTGCCCAGACGTAGCCTCTCGCCGCCGCGCAGGGCGAGCTTCGAGATCGCGAAGGATTTGGTGAGGAGATAAGAGCCCTGGACAAGGGCAGCCATGGAGAGGACGAGGAATAGGAGCTTCTTCCAGGTGAATGTGCTGCGATGAGTTTGCTCGTCCTCGTTCTCGTCGTTTTCGTATACTTCGAGGTGAGCTTCGGGCTTGGGTTGCTCGATGTCGACGTCTGCGCCGCGCTGTGGCAGAAGCTGATAGCGGGGAGGCGACATGACGGTGGGTCAGTGGGAAGTTGGAGCCAGATTAGATCATTGGACGTTGTTGCCTGTTGTTGCTCAGCGATTGCGTAATGCGTTGCCTATCTCCAGCAAATTCGCATGCGATCCTGCGTGCATGACAAGGGTTGTAACTTGTAAGGCATCCCTTCCAGTACCGGTAGTGTTCGAGCTGGATTCAAGGCGTTCAGCTTCAAGTTGGCACCTGCTCTGCGGCGGTCTGAATGGACTTGATTTTGACGTCACTCACACTTCTCATAAACGCCGCCACGTGCATCGCATTGAACCCAGAGCGGGCGGCAAGTTTCGGTTTCTCAACTTCGGTCTCGCTAGTCGCCAGAATATATTTTTATCCGCAGGTTCGTCAGATGGCTTTCCTCGACCTTCCCGGTAACCTGCTCATTCTCTGGTACGATGTCAGGAAAATGCAAGGTGAGCCTTCAGGCGTCCTCCTAAACATTACCGCCTTTCGGCGGCGACATCTCGCGTGGGATGCTTATCGTCCGGATTCGCGCGCTGACTGACAGATCGTAGCCCCATCGTGGCTAGTACTACAGTGGGGAGCTTGCGGCCTGAATCAGTACTATCGCATCCCTTCTGAAGTACCAGCTTCGCGCAAACCATCGACGTGCATGTGGTATGAAGTCAATGTATGTATGGCAATCGCCGGTCTCTGAGCACGGTCTACACTGATCTTTGGACCGCAAATCTCAGGCACATGGATCGGCATCATGCTAAGGCTAGAACTGCCCTCAACTTGGATGTCCTCCGGACGGTCATAAGTTTCCTCCCGGTGGCCGATCTGAAGGGAATCGCCGTCGTCTCCCAACCTCTGCACGAGGAAGCGTCCCGAGAGATCCTCAGCAGGGGCGTCCACCTACGGAGCAATGCTACCAAGCTCAAATCCTTCTGCGACTTCATGTTGAAGAGGGATCCGCCTCTCTTCCCCTACCTCCGCACTTTCACGCTTGAGCACCTTCCACATCGTTATGTGGATCAGACAGCCATCGATCCCACAGAGATACTCGAGGTCCTCTCCCGTGCGGTATACCTCCGCTATCTGCGGATACGATGGTCTGACTTCCTGTTCACTGCTGAGTCGGACAAGCGCCTCTTTATCACCCTCCCCAAGCTACCCGATTTGCGTCGGCTCGAAGTCTGGACCCGGAGCAACACGACAGACACACTGGTCGCAGAGACCGTGCTCAACCTCCGCTCACAACTTCGCACCCTCGACGTCCCCAGCGACCCCGACAACCAACTCTCTCCCGACTTCCCGAACCTGTTGGCAGAGAAGCAACAATCCCTCTACAGCCTGCGCATCTGCTATCCCAGTCTGACCAACACCCAATGGGCCCCCTTCCCGTCGGTGCGCGTCCTGTACCTCCAGATCGGGGACAAGCTGCCCAGCCTCCCGCAGCTCGTCCATATCTTCCCCGCCCTCCGCGAGCTCTCCGTCTCCGCCGTAGGGTTCGAGGTCGACTTCGCGCACCCGTCCCCAGAGCACGTCCGCGCGCGGAACGAGGCGCTCGCGTTTCAGAGCTCAGGCAAAGGGTGGAAGAGCTTGGACGTCTTGACGGCGGCGACCATTGGGGACCCATGGGTGCTGTGCTTGACGTGCCCTGTGGGATCGGTAAGCCTGGGGCATTACGACGTGGGGAGCCATCGGGCGTTCGTGGACGTCGTGTCGGGCACGCGGCCGAGGAAGGTTGCGGTGCACCTCGCGTGCGCGCAGTATTGCGTGAGACCGGACGGCCTGCAGAACATCTTCGTCTTCCCCAGCGGGGTGGAGGATGGTACTGAGGAGGGCGTGCGAGGGGCGACCCATGCCGTCCTCATGGTCTCCATCTCGTCATTCAACACCGTCCAGGACACGGCTACCATCATCGTAAGCGGTCCCACTGTTCCAAGTTCTTTGATTCTGACCGCCGGGACGTCTGCGCAGGACACGATTGCGTCTCACGTGAAAGACTCTGCTTTGGAATACATACACATTGGGTTCGCGGAATTCTTCATGTCCGGCGAGCTCGACGAACGCATCCTGAAGCCGGAGGACATCCATGAGGAGGTGAAGAAGGTCATACAAGAGATCGACCTCGAGCTACTCGTGTCTGGCATCGTGGCGACGGGGACACGCTTACGGTTTGTTGCAGTAACCGCGGCGACACGGGACCAGAGCATGTGGGCGATCGACAGGACAGACAACGGGCAGCTCGTCGGGAGGGTCAAGAACGCGTTTTCTGCGAGGGAGATCATAGACCGGGAGGAACGTAGGCACAAGGGTACTGGTTGGTTCTCCCAATGATGAAACAGACTTTCTTCGCACGTTGGTCGTTCTCGAATTCCTCCGATATATTGCAGAACCCTGATCATCTCTTCCAGCCGTAATCGAAGTCGTAAACGGATGTGCTAACACCAGCGTTATCGCTCTGTTACCGGAATCGAAGTCGACAATGTCGAGAAGTACTCTCACATTCGGCTATGTTGTCGTCTTCAAGTTTGCCATTCTACGCGACTCGGTCGTTCAGTAGGAGCAGTCATATGCGTAGGTCGCATAAATAATGATGCCGCAGTGATCCTCACGAGGCAGTGATTGTTCCGCTAGAGTCACACTGCGGTTTCCAAAAGTATTATGGGTTCAATATGATGCAGCGCTGAGCGGCGTATCAGGATGATGTGCCACGCTTTAAGGTCCAAGCATCGTCCACTAGATCAAGACTGATGAAGCATGCGGCGTTGACCTGAGGCAGTCCCGCTATTGCTCACGAGTGGCTCGGATAGCCCCATGCCTGAAGAATCATACGTTATCTTCCAGAATTCCGAAGGAAGAGGGTTCTCAGCCATCTTCCCAATGTTGTTCAGTTCCAAACCTGGCACCGTTGCATCAGCACCACAACAGACTCCTGCTATGTGCCTCCGAGTCATTTGACAGGTAAAGGATTGAGAACTTATCACATCATACATGCGCAACAAAATCAGTGATACGTTATGCATCGAAATCGACGTCGCAGTTTCAAGGGCTGTATGCGTGTGACCATGATTGCGCGAGACCTTCGAAAGGCTCAGTTATGTGTGCACTGGGAGTTCTCCACGCGCTCATCCGACCGATCAGATCATTATCTCAACATAGAATGGGTGAGGCTTGTGACGGCCGGCCACTACCTGAAACTTCATTGCCTAATCTTTCAAACAAAGTGATACAGATACAGCCGGAAAAAGTGATACAGATAGAGCTGGGATGTACAGATCGTCGATGTTGATGTGTGCTGTTGTATATACCACCCGTTCTGTGTGTCGCGTCCACGGTGAATCTTTCTACGAGGGGTAGTCATACCTGATTTACCGTGGCCCACAAGTGACTTGTCAACATGAGATCTGTGGTATCCCGCGCATCTTAACTCAATCTATATTCTGCGTGTCGTCTTGCATGTTTTTGAGAACACAGGACTTAGATGTGCTGCGGCAGTCTAGTCCTCTCGGCACACTGCGGGAGCGCTGGCACAAACCTTACCTGCGGTAGTGATTTCGTGCATATACACACATACTATAAGAAGCGTCTTCCGCTGCCGAGGGACATACAGCTCCCCCTATTAGCTTCTCTCATCAACATCAACCCCTGAAACTCTCATTCTCAAAGATGTCATACTCATACTACAATCATTCGGACGGCCGCAGCACTGGCTATCGAACTGGGGGTCCTCGCGGACCGCTCAGCCCATATAGGACACGTGCTAATGTGGTAAGCCTCCCACCAGACCGCAGCCTTATGGACGGCTTGCACGGAGAGGCCATACGGACTCTGTCCAAGCCGCAAGTCGACCCGAGCACAGAAATAGCTGTCAGACCCGAGAACGTGAAGTACATCGGCTCATATAACTGGGTCGAGGAGGCCTCACCTACGATCATCGTCCCTGGTAAGTTCGCAGCAGTGCAGTTTCACGCCGCATGCGCTCACTAGGTTACGATCGAACAGGGTCTCCGGCTGAATGGCGCGACCGACCTTTCCCCTACCGAGTCCCGTTCGACACTGATTTCCGGTTTGTCGACCAGAACGGCTACCGCATGGGCCAGGCGTCCTGTCTGCTCCCGCTCTTCCGCGCTGTGGACGTTGTCGCCGAAGAGAATGCGGACACATCCCTCGATTGGAGCTCGATTGACATCATCACCGACAGAAACGGCCTTCGCAAGCTCATGCGATGGCTGCAGTACTCGGAAGGGGCGGTAGGAGCTGGTCTGAAGGAGTTCCGTATTGATCTCCAGCTGGCAGGCCGGAAAACGGTGTTGATGAGCAGATGGGAGAAGCGCACTAGAGAGAACGCGGATCCCCCCAGGTCGGGTTGTGGGTCTAACTTCGAGAAGGAGAGCACGAGGCCGGCGACGGGGTGCGAGAGGAGCACTGGCCACCATCGCATCGTGCAATACGTGAGACATTATGTGTGATGCGTAGGCAAAGATCACTCACTGAGGCCGACTATAGGACATGGGTGGACTGAAAATGATAGTCCGCTGTGAAGTTGATGCATGCATCCCCGAGCCGTCCTCTGTCGGGACAAGGACCAGAGCAACGTTCCCGCAAAGCAACCCACGGGCTACGTCGTCAAACGTAGACGACCTCACCGATATGCTCTCCAGTCTGAATGTCACCAGGAGCACCTCTACTTCCGCCACATCCACAATCACGAAGAGCACTGACATCACTGTGATTCATGCCGGTGTTCAACGACCCCAGTCCTCCATCGTCGAACTGACGACCCGGTCCGTTCGTACCATCGACGACTTCGATTGGACAGAGCAGTATCCTCAGCTCCTTCTCGCTCACGTCCCCCACGTCTTCCTCGCCGTGCACGAACGCGGTAACTTCGAGCGTATCAAGAAGCACGAGCTCGGCGCGGCCGAGTTCCGGAACGTGGAGAACAATGCGAGGCTCCAGCGGGCATTCCGTCAGCTCGTGGGAGTCCTCCGGACCGTCCAAAACCTGGTGAAGGAGCATGGAAGGCGCGGGCGGCTCAGCCTCGTGTGTCGCGATGGGAGAATGGAGGTCTTCGAACGCACGACTGACCAAGGTGCTATTCCGGATAGCGAGCTGGAACGCTTCGGCGTTTGATAAGTTGTCATCACGGGAGGTTAGAAAAGGTGGTGAAACGTGCTTCCATGCAACGAACCATGGCGTGCTGCTCATGCGCAGTCATCATGGCGGTACCCTAGATACGCGCATTCCTGTATTAGTTGTCTGCATTTCGCACCTTGTCCTCGGTTGTGCCAGATCTTGCTAATGAGAGTGTCGATGTTTTCGTGTTTCCCCGATCGCGTAGATATGGTGACACACGTTACGCTTTGTGCTTGGGCAGCACAGATCCTCCGAAATGGCATCATGCCCCTGAACAGCTTCCGAGAGGTCGTAGAGCAGGAAAGTTTACCTATGTGGAGTCGCGGTTCGTCTGCAAGAGCGGGTAGACCTCGGAGCGCCCAAGGCGCTTGAGCCGCTCCCCTCGACCAGCTTGCTAATCGTTGGGATGTTTTGCGTTGCTATCATCGCGGATCTACAGCCCACAGAAAGGAGAAGCGGATAAGATACTAAGCGAGATACGCAGGAAGAAGATACGAGAAAATCTCGACGAACGTGCCATCGCTAAATGACGTTTCTACCTCAGCTTGAGGCGGGCATTCGGAGAAACTACGCTACTGTATCGAAGGCGTGCTCTGCCGTTAGGTGGAAGGGAAGGAACGTATCAAGTGGTGGGCATGGCAAGCAATGATGGATAACCTTGAGGACGCACAATGCTTGTTAGCGTGAATTGCGTACTTAGATCGGTAAGCACGAACTGCGCATCCAGATCATCGGCATTGTCTGCGGGCACTACAGTCGCACAGAAGCATTGCTACCCTACGACAGTGAGATGTTTATGCCTGTAATCAGCAAGACTTGTGGTTCGTGAGTGGGTACTTGTTATCGTCGAAGCTGGGCATGACAGGACCGTGGACATGCGTACACACACCAGCCTGTCAGATACTCGCACCCCCTCTATGCCGTTTCCCCCAAGCGCAGGATGTCATGCTTCCTGACAGCAGGCCACGCGGTCACGAGAGGATGCGCGGGCGAACTCCCGCGCCACCATGGGACTGGGACAGTAGAGTGAGGGAGTGAGAACAGCAAACGGACATACGAACCGGTGCGGCAGGGAAGCGGAGCCGTGCAGCCGTTGTGGATCCCTAACTGGCGAGATGAGCGTCTCCCTCCGCTGGCTACTTGACAAACGTCGGTGTCCGACACCCATCGGGAGAAGCCAAGCGTATGAGCGGCTCTGCCACGAGCTCAGGGACTCGACGAAGGCGTGAGACGCTGCAGGAGCTCAGATGCCGTAAGTTATCTTCACCGTTTGTCGATATCACAGCACCCAGTGGACATCCTCGCTATCACGTCCCTGGCCGAGCTCGCGAGTCCACCTGAGACGGGGTCGGAGTCGCGTAAGGCCATGTCAGATACGGACGTCCAAGTGCAGGGACGTGCGCGGAGAAACCTGGCGGGAGGCGGGAGGTGTGCGTGAGAAAGCCGAGGTTTACGCTGACGCTGCGAGCGCGGTGGCGCACGACTTGTCTCGGTCTTAGCTTATCCTCCACGCTCTAATCAGCAGCACCGGCTCACCTAGTTGCGGAGAAGTGGGGAAGGAGGCGATGGAAGGTGCGACTGGGGGTTCGAGCGTGCCAATCGGAGCGCCGCTCTAGGAGTGGAAGGTTGGAAGGATAGAAGACGACCTTTGTTCGAGCTGGATCGCGGGCCAGAGCCTAGCAGCGTCGAGGTCGCCGAGGCTCTAGACCCCCGTCATTTCAAGGCCAAGCACGAGATTGCTACCGGGGCTGGGGTGGAGACGTCGACGGGCTTCGACGCGATGCGATCCAGAGAGAGACTAAATGAGAGAAGGGGGTGCGCGAGATGCGATTCGTCGAGGCGATTGCGATCTAGGCCCAGGCCTGCGCGGATGCCCACGACGAAATCGCGGGACCGTCGAAGGGGGGCCGGAACCCATGCGGCCACATGCCAAGCGGTTTCCTAGCAGCGGGTGTCTGAACACGAGTACTGTGAGCGTGCGCAGGCGCATTGATCGCCGACGAATGGGGCGAAATAGACGAGGGCGCGATGTCACTTGCTCGTCACCCTGTTGGTGGCCATGGCGAACTCACCCCAGCACGGTCTGCACGCGTGCCCGTGCGCGGGAACACGCACGGCGATTTGGCACCCAGGTACATACTTAGAAAGCCAACGGCGTCGTCGAGGTGCCACTGGCAGTAGTCGGCGTGCGCAAACGGGAGCAGAACACGGCGACGTCGCCGGCGGCGGCGAAACAGCGCATGCATGCATCATGATGTAGAGCACCCGAGCACAGGAGTGGTCACCCATTCGCCGTACTGGCAAGAGAGCGGTAAATACGGTGCGTCATGTCAGCGACAGATGAGAAACCGCCAGGACGCGCGGGCCGACAGAGGTGGAGGCGGATATCGCGTGTCCAAAACGTCGCCTCGCAGAACGACTCGGATGGTGTAGGCGAGCACGACGCGCGCAGGCAGGCGGCGTACGAGCGCATTAACCAAGCCTTATCAGGCACAGAAGTCAGAACCCTTGACATGAACACCACGCTGCCGGCGGTGAAGTCGAAGGCGAAGGCGACGGCGACTTGGTGCTATATTGGGCTACAGTCCGCAATTGCACGCTACCCAGAGCGCAAGCCGGGGCTATAAACCACTCCCGAAGCGAACGCTTAGATAATCCCGAGCATGGCGTGTGAGGACGCTCGAGGGGCGCATGGAATCACTCCGGCGACGCGTGCAAAGACCTGCTGTAGTTCAAACAGAGTCGAGAACGCCAACGGCAGCGGAAGGAGCGGACAAGGCCAGACCGCGCAAAGACGAGCCTCGGATTGTGCTCGCGCGAGGGCTCTCACATAGAAAGTATGCTCGGGGGGAGAAGAGCGCAGGGGGGATTGTCGCCTCCCACAAACAGCAAGGGTGACGCTATGCGCTGCCGGATGAAGGTTCCCCCACTGGCACATAGCATGCCCAATGGCAAATCCCCACTGCACCCTTCCGCACCCCTCCCTCCTTCTCGCCCAGAGCAGGCAAGACGCCTACCAGCTGCGCGGCAAAGGAGCGTTGCGCGGGATTCGCGAACTCGAGTGCCGCCGCGCCCAATAGTGCCCAGGAGCAGCGAGGGTCCCGCGCGTCCAACGTGACCGCGCGGCGTGAATAGACGGAGCACCGCGCTGCGGCCTGACTGCGTGGCCGTTTGTCGTCGTGGGGGCGCGTCCCTGGCTGTAGAGTACCGAGGGCCTGAAGGGAACGCGAACACGATCTGTCAAGTCTATGTCTATTCACGCCTCATCAGCCGTGCGCGTGCACGTGCACGGGGGGCCCGTCGCCGGGCGACCGTCGACGAAAATAGACGTGTACCCCGGCTTGCAGTGATAGGAAGAGGTTGGATGTTCCCAGGATGCCTCGTGTCCGAAGGCCAAGGGGTAGCTAGACAAGGCGAGACAAATTTACGGCATCCTCGCAATCTGTACCAAGGAACTGTAACATGGCCGGTGATTTGTCTCACACTGCAAGATTGTAGATGGGTCTCGCGGAGATGACTGCGGACCGCCGTTGTCCGGGGACTGGGTAGCTCAGGTACCGCTGAAACGATAAACACCACGCGCTAGTCTCTACGCTGGTCGTGTGAAGACATGGGACAAGACCAGCAAGCCGAGCCCAAATACACATCTGCTATCCATCTAGCGCGCGAGCAGGTAGGGCAAGGCTCATGAACATTACCGCACTAAGAAACGAGGCGAGTTCAGCGATAAGCTGAGCTCGATGAGTTGCGCTGCAGGCAGAGCGATGGGCCCAAGGACGTGGACGCAGCCGCTGGAGCAGATGCATCGAAAAGAGTGAAGAGGGTAACGATTTTCCAGTATGTGCGCTGTGAGACAGACCTATGTTGCAAGCCCGTAAAGCCAACAAATAATGGGCCATTCTCCGGCCGACAATTGGCTCTGCCGGAGGAATCCCTTGGCCGGTCCTCTTGGCGTCCCCCTTACCTTTCCTTGATAGACAGCGAGTGTGGCCCTCCTATGCGCACGGACAAGTGGGGCAGAACCAACGCCAGAAGTTAAATTCTTTCGCTAGCGACTTGTACGAGTCTCTGCCGTAATAATGAAGGCCATGGAAACTGAGTTCGCGTTGATGGAGGGGATGCCACGCTTAGATTCGTACATGAGAGCGGCGAGCTGTAGAGCTTTTCTGAGAGCACACTTCCCGCGAGCTTCGCTCTGCACCGACTCGGCCGAGTTCGCCACAGTCCTCACGCTGACAATGTCAAGCGACATACCGAGTTGCAGCAGACGGTGTACAACGTGCGTGGACCAGTGGAGCCGTGCTAGCCATACTGGTTCACACACGTTACCTGTATTGATCGATTATCTCTGCATCTTTACGCACGATACGAAGGCGAGATAATGCACACTTTGGCAAAAAGCCCGTAAGTGTAATACGACAGTCGCAAGAGGGTGGAAACCTTCAGAAGCATCACCGTACACCAATTGAACGACAGGCCTCTAAACGGCGAGCATTGAGGGCAGACTATGATCGTCAGGTTTAATACTCACGAACGTACCTTCGAAAGCCTGTGAACCAGACGTCAATTGCGCCCATTCGCTTCGACTAATGAGCAAGGACCGGCCAGGGGCGGGAGAATACCGGCCAGAAAATCGATGAATGGCGGTCAGGGTTTGGCGGCGAAATGCAAAGCTGAGCGAACGGAGCGCCTCTTGTGATTATCAGAAACAGGCGTATTGGTACCCAGGCAGCGGGCTATCGAGGTTTCCGGGTAAGATGGGTGCAGTGGGCGAGGTCAATGTGGGCTTCGGGAAAGCGGTCGTCGTGCTCCGGAGAGGACGTGAGAAGGCTAGGGGTGGGAAGAGGGCGAGATACGACGGCGTGAGGATTTGTCAGGGTCGACTGAGAGAGTGGGTGGTGGGTTCGGAGGATCGCAATTGAGTTGGGTTCCATGGACACGTCCCGAGACGAAGCCTATCATGGGTGGTGAAAGGCGTGCGCTGGGAGCGTTCCCAGTGACGACCACCGGCATGATGGGTCAGTAAAGGGCGAAGTCCGTTCAGGGATTGTGCGGAGAATAGCTCGAGCAGACAAGTCCACCATCTGAACGCTGCTGGCTGGGATGTGAGCCGGCATTCAATTGTATCTGGGAAAGAAGGACGTCTTGAATGCGAAGACATACGTCCTGTACGCCGTTGCTCTGGGTGGTGGCGGCGGTGCCAGAATGGAGGCCAGGGCGGATTAATGTCGGGCAAGAAGGCGGCGGTGGATCAGAATAGGGCTGATAGGGAAGAGGAAGAGGGCGTTCCTGTGTATGGGAGCAGCTACCGAACGTGGCTTGTCAGGCGGAAATCTCGGCAAATTCCCATCTTCCAACTCCGCCCCACAGGCGCCCGTGCGCGCGCGTCCATCCGCGGAAACTGACGCGGCCTCTCTCGTCCCCCTCTATATACCACCACCCCATCGCCTCCGTCCGTCTCTCGTATCCCCCTCGCTCACCGTCCGAACCAGCCCGACGCATACACACGAGCCAGCACTCTCTGACCTCATCATGCCTGACGGTTCCTTCGCACACCCCCAGCAGCGTCAGTTCAACCCATACACCGACAACGGTGGTACCATCCTTGCCATCGCTGGTGCAGACTTCACCGTCATTGCTGGTGATACTCGCCAGAGCGAGGGCTACAGCATACAGACCCGCTATGCGCCCAAGGTCTTCCGGCTGTGCGTTGATTGCCCCTCACCCCTACTCAGCAGCTATCGTCCACTCACCTGCGCTTTCATTCGCGTTTTCACAGAACTGATCGCGCCGTGCTCGCGGTAAATGGCTTTGCTGCAGATGGCAACATGTTCGTCAAGAAGGTGAAGCAGCGACTTGAGGTGCGTAGTAGTCGCGAGGACGACGCGTCGCGCGCTTGATTGATTTATGGCTCGCCTTCCAGTGGTATCGACACGCACATGCAAAAGACATGCCCCTCCATGCCATCGCCCGCCTGATCCAGACCATGCTCTACGCTCAGCGTTTCTTCCCTTATTATGTCTACAACATCCTCGGTGGTATCGAGGAAGATGGTGAGTGTCATTCCTTCCAATGCGGAGACAGCACTGGGTACCCCTCGCTTCTGGAACGCTCTGAATGTATAGAAGCATCTACTTCCGGTACTTCTAGTTGCCTATCGTTTGTCTATTTGCGACCGGGCACAAAGATGTGCGATTGCTGCTTTCGGAGGGAACGCGTGTCCTCGCATCCCATGAGCGCTACACGGCCACGCGAGAACTCGCCCCTGTGCAGGTCACGGGCTTGCGTCATCCCAGTCACATCCATGCTCACAATGCATCTCTCCTTCCAGGTTCCGGCGCCGTCTACTCCTTCGATCCCGTAGGATCATATGAACGTGAAGCATGCCGAGCCGCGGGCGCCGCTCAATCCCTAGTCCAACCATTCCTGGACAATCAGGTTAGTCCCCCGCTCCCCTAACGATACGCTTAGCTCAGGATGCTGACCCGATCCTTCCCCGACGTCGACCCGTTTCCATCTGTTCGTGATCCCTCGTCTAGATATACTTCAAGAACCAGAAAGCGGCGGCTGGCCAATCGCACCCGGCGCACCTGCCGCTGTCGGATGTTCTTGCTATCGTCATTGACTCGTTTACGAGCGCAACAGAGCGTCATATCGAGGTACGTATCCCGCCTTCTCTTCCACGCGGCGCCACTTGGTCTGTCTGTCAGAAGCACGTCTTTTGTCATGCACCCTTCTCTGTCAAAGTGATAACACGACGAACGCTTGCTTATCTGTGGCCCCTCTTTCCCATTAGGTCGGTGACGGTCTCGAAATCTATGTTGTCGTTGCGAAGGGCCGCAGCCCACAAGGGCTCGAGACCATGCGGAACGTGCAGGAACTGAGCACACGGCCTGATGGGGACCGCATGTTCATCCTCCGGAGAGAGCTAAAGAAGGACTAAGGCCATCGGAGACCTGTGCGTGGACTCCCTGCCCCCGTTCTCTTTGTACACCACGATTTCGAGGACATCTTCTCTCAATGGACGTTCTGTTCCCCTTCTTCCTTCGCACGCGCACGCACTCAATCGAGTACTACGAAACGCGGGGCTTAGCCCCCCTGTCCTGGATTGCTGCAATTGGAACTCGCGCTACGCTGGAATGGGCATCCCCAACGCCTGCTTGCCGTCTTGTGTCGTTACGCTGTAGCTGCTCCTCCCCACCTCTACGCGGTCTTTAGAGTGCGCGCGCGGTGGGAGTAATGTATCAGTATCATTCGTCGTCGTCGCCGCTGTCTTGTCATGTCATATAGCTAGAAGCCAGAGCAGTAATGTAAGCCCCTTATCTACCTCGTCTCATGCGCCCGACTGCAAGCCCGCGTTAGAACGCAATGACGCCTGCCGCCGCGTGCGTGACGAAGAAGCCCTCCACGCCGCATGTGGCCTGCGAGCGTCGGACGTCGCTCCGCCATCAGCGCAGTGACGGCCTCTCGGGGACTGCTGACCACCGCGATGTGGTAGGCGGCGGCTTCTCGACTAATTTCGCCCGCCCCGCCGTCTTCTGCGCCACAGCTCGGCTGCAGATAGCCACTCGCCAACCGAACTTACTTACTGGCATCGAACTCGCGGAGTTATCTCACTTTGCGTGATGTCGCACGTCTACGACGCCTTCCGACAGGACCACGATGGGGTTGTGCGGGTTCGGAGAACTTCGGACTCGCGTGAACGCGCCGCTTGTTGGACAGAGATGGTCATGCGGCGCGCGCGCTGCCCCGCCCTTCCGAGGTATATACGCTCAATGTACGCTGTTTGGTGGTCCCGGTTGGTCTTCGGCGTGCGCGGGAAGCGTGCTGTTGATCGAAGCAACGATGTATAGGCGGCTTTGGCTCGGGCCCACCGCTGGAGGGTGAGTGAGAAGTGGGGCAGGGCGTCTGGGAGGCACGACGAGCACTGACGGGTTGCCAAGTTTGGCGGGAACCCGACGGCGAGTCTCGGGCACGCATCACTTAATTTATCGCCGTGAGCTTGCCCAAGACGTACGAGCGACACGAGGTCCGGAGAGGCTGTCACGACGAAGAAGGGCATACCAAGGATAAATCGACATATCAACTTCGGAAAAACATATCAATTGGTCAGATGCAGCCAGCCTCTTGGCCAATCGGCCGCATCGCAGATCAGACGTGACCTTTGTATTGAGAAGAGACGTCGAGACAACACGCCCTGCCCATAGTCGCCAGATCCACCGTCCAACATGGGGTGGAAGCCTGGGGGCGGGAGTCGAAGTCCGGGGCCGGGTGGGGAACGGTGCCTTCCTGGATCAAGCGGTGAATGCGGCTCGGAAAATGTTCGAGAGTTGCATATGGGGCGCGGCTTCCGTGCGGCAGCAGCGCTGCTCGTCTGCGTTATCCTCGAGGGCGAATGAAGGGGTGCGTTCAAAGCGAGTGGCGGAACAGCGGGTCGATGAGTCCGGCTCTCGTCCGATATGCGACATAGTGGGAGCTCAAGGACGATAACAAGGGTAATACGAACCCGACGAGACTAAGGTTTGTCATCTGACCAGAACTTGAAGGCTTAGCGGCGAACCGTTGCATGCGGATGGGATGCACGAGAAAGTCACGGTGTGCGACGAGCACCTGTAATCTGCCAAGTTGGCTCAAACCGCTCCATGAGGCAGCCTTGATGACGTGCGTCGATCTCGACACTCACGGCCGGTATCAACTGCATAGCCGGAAGTAGCCCGGGCAGGTGACCTTCTATATGTCTCCGGTTAATGGGAAGTGTGAGGGAGGCTCTAGGTCTGGGTCGAAGTCACTGTGCAACCTTCCTCGGTCTCCCCCGGTCACAAGACCGGTACCGATGTTCTCCGTGCACGCGGACGAGGGAGCGATACGTTGGACATGACAGGATGCTTCGCGCGACCATCGGTATGCCGAGACGTGGATTGGTTGTGCCGGCTGCACCAGGAAGGGTGCAGGAGGAAGGATGTGGGGGCGGACGTCCGTGAGTGCGCGGGCGATGTTGCGGGACATCTCGTGCCGGATGCGGGGCCGGAGCGAAGTGTTTCTGGAGAGAATGAGGGGAAATAGGATGCTTGACATATTGACTGAAATGTGGGGTAGTGAGTTCTGTCAGGGGCAGAAACTTGACTTGTTGGGAAAGAGCGAGTCAGGACACGTGCATATAGCTTGCTCGTCCCTGAGGTTTTCTAGACATCCGGTATCGTGTCCACACCGATGTCGCTCTACGGTACTCTGTCGGTTCCCGTGTCAACATAGTGGGTGGGTTATGCATGCTTTTCACTGATGGTTAGGGGGTGATAACATTGGTACATACGAACCGCGATTATTGGTGCCTATAAGGTCATCTACGGACCGCTCCGGTCACGCTGACTGACAGCGCTATGAAAGGCATCTTGACGATAGGCTTTGTGTACAATCGATGGATAAAAATCTGCTGCCCTAAGAGTGTGAGCGGCAACTATAGGACTCCAGCGGAATTACACACATGAAGCAAAGCTGATTTAGTACATCACCTCCCGCTGGCATGGCGAGCAACCGTAGCCGTGAAAAACGCCAATAGTGACGGCCCTACGGAGCGACGTCCCTACACTGCCGCGGTCTCTGCCAGTTGCGTAAATTTTTGCCTATGATACGAACCTTAACATAAGGCCAAAGCCAAAATCGAATCGGACTATGGGCCAAGGTTGTGATCGCTAGGATGTCGCCGACCCTGTCGCTGCCGCTGTGCGTATCAAGGATCGACATCGTGATCCTTCCCATTCATTTTCCATGCTACTTCCGGCATGTTTATGTGCCGCGAGCTGATCGATTGCACCGAGTCAGTAGCCGCGGATCCGACGTTGTAGGAGTGGACACAAGGTGGTCGATCGTGAGCGCCTGACGGTAGGTTGAACGCGCGCCTTTGCTGGCGCCTCTGAGAGTGGACTTCGGTGGCCCGAAGGTCTAACGTAATTTCAATTTTTCAAACCCCCATCATCTGTAAGATTCATCCTCGCCCTGGTCCTGTCGCACAGGCACTGAGCTCGATAACCACATGGGACCTCCCAAGAATACGAGTCAAGAACTTATCCTTGATGATAGCGCTTGGCGCTTGTACAGTGGAAACACCAGCCCCTATTTGCGTCAGTTTTTCCTCAGCGGCATTTGACTGCGCTGCGGAGTTCCTATAGTGCGGACTGCACTTGAGCGCGGCCCTGCCCTAGCTTCCGGTGGAGTTCGGGAAGGACAAATGATGAACTGGCGGCACATCACCGATAGCCGCGAGGTACTGGCATGCAAGGATAGGGGCTCGTAAAGCAGCATGAAGTCGGTCCTACAATTATTCGCCTCAATGCCTCGACATGCCGATGGATATCGGTGAATAGCTGAGTGAATGCCTTCATCGCCGTTCGCGCCATATTGATTAATGCAGAATAGATCAGGTTTTCACCCTTTATCGCCCCATAGACAAGCAAACTCTATTTGCAAGCATCTGTTTCAGAGTGTACAGTATGCGTCGGCGATACACGAACGGTAAGTGGCTTACACATCTAGTCCCGCCTCGGCACGTAGCCGCGCAATACGACCATGCCAGAAACGCGCGCCTCCACACTTATTGTATGCATAGGCGCTCATGAGAGTAAGCAGATATCACGAATCTTCCCTCACTACTCAGACGCAGCTAGTGGCTTACATCATATTTCCCAAAATCAGGCAGGCAGGGACCAATCCGAGACCTCCAAGGTTGATAAACGCCGGGGCCCTAGGGTTCTTAGCGGTCGTGTGCGAACGGTGCACTCCCGCCATAAAAGCGAAACCTAGTATGCCTTCCGACGATACCACACCTGTCTCAAAGCCTACGTCTCTCTCCCTCTGGGCCTGGTTTACCTCCCTCTTCACTACTATCTCCCGCCCTCAACACTCCTACGACATGGTCGAGAAGTCTGGAAAGAAGAACGTGGTCGTCATCGGTGGTGGCTTTGCTGGCGGTACCGCTGCTCGCGAGTTGTCGAAGAAGCTCAGCGCATCCCAGTATAACATCATCCTCATCGACGCCCGCCCCTTCTACACACATCTTCCCGCCTTGGCGCGTATCGCAGTCAGTGCCGAGGATCAGTTGGAGGAGAAGGCGCTTTTCGGCTTCGAGAAGCTGTTCCACAATGGTAATGGTACCTTCAAGCAAGGCAAGGTCGTGTCCATCGCGGAGGCGGCTCCTGGAAAGGGAGGGGAGGTCGTTCTCGAGAGTGGCGAGAGGGTATCCTACTCCGCGCTCCTGATCGCGACCGGTGCTATCTGGCCCGAGATCATCCAACTTCCCGAGACGAATTCGGCTACGAAGTCGCACATCAGCACCTGGAGGAACAAGGTCGAGAAGGCTAACCACGTCGTGATTGTCGGTGGCGGTGCGGTCGGAATAGGTCAGTCGTGTGCCTATATCTGTATGCCTTCTATCTGCTAAGCTCGTCCTTGTCATCAGAGCTGGCGGGCGAAATCAAATATGCGTACCCTGTAAGCGCTTGCTATTTCCCCATGCGTCGTACTCGAGCTGACATAATTGCTACAGAAAAAGAAGGTCACAATCATCCACCGTGACTCCCAGCTCCTCAACGCCGTCTACCCTGCCAAGTACCGCAAGGACATCGAGCGCCGTGTACGCTCACGCAACATCGAACTCCTCCTCGGCGACTCTATCGACCTTCCCCCTTCAGAGAATGTGAACGGCATCTCTACCCGTAACGGCAAGAGCCTCCCAAATGTCGACCTTGTGGTACGTTATCCGTCTCAACCCGGCCCTTGACCCGTCGGCTCACCATCTCCTCTTGTACAGATCCAAGCGTTCGGCTCGAAGCCTGCCACGAGCTTCATCTCGTCGCTCGGCTCTGACGTCCTGACATCATCGGGCACGGTCCGAGTGAACGAGTTCCTCGAGGTCGTGGGCCACGCCGGCGTGTTCGCCGGGGGTGACATTATCGACTGGGAGGAGCAGAAGCAGGCAGCAAAGGCTGGCGGGCACGCCGCCATCATTGTTGCGAACATCATCTCGTTCCTCCAGGGCCAGCCGCTGAAGAAGGCGTACAAGGGCAGCCCTGAGCTGATCCTCATCCCGCTCGGCAAGGTGCGTTCTCCGGAGCTTACTATCTTCTAATATGCAGCCCGCTGACGGCGATCGTACCCATTTTTACAGAGCGGCGGTTCCGCATACCTTGGTTTCCTGTGGGGCATCATCCTTGGTGACTGGTTTGCAAAGATGATGAAGGGCAAGGACCTCATGGTCGGCATGGCACGGGGTCAGCGTGGCCTCTAGGGGCATGCGCGTTGTTGGATATGGGACTTCGGGCTGTATCCCCTCATACACATTCATTCAGCATCCGTTTCTGTTGTCTTTATATCTCATCGTCTTATATCCTCATATGTAGCAGTACATCCTAATACTACATCTCTTATCAAATCCCTCTAAATAGATGCATAGTATGATGCCACCGTCTGTCCGTTCTACGAGCACACAAGTGGCGTGCTATGGCAGCTGCCTAGAACCTGACCTCAAGAGCGTGCAACACGCAGGAAGGAGAAGTCTCGGAAGTATTGATCGCAAGTAACTCCGAGCGATGGCAGTTTGCGGGTGTACGAGCGTTCCGGTTTAGGCAACTTCTGTAGTTCGTCGCGAGCAGCTCGTACAACGCGATTACGAGCTGAAGAAAAGCTGCTCCGCCGACGATCAAGATTTCATATAGCCTATATAGCGTGTTCCTGCACAGAAGTAAATATGCCAGGGCTTCAAGGGCATGGAAGGTCTCCATGAAGAGGCGCGTCTTGGGGAACGAGGCGTTCTGAGCCTGTAGGTCCGCATTTTCGCCGGCGCGCCGAGATGGTTGAAATGCAATAATTTTCCCGGCGAAAACTGCGATGGTATTGCTGACACCATCTTAGACGTAGGCGGGGGTAGGGTGGGTACTTCAGACGTCAAATGGACCGCTCACGGGTTTGCACACCGCGTGGACGCAGTGTGAAGGAACTGCATCAGTAAGCCATGCAGTCCCTTAATGGCTTAGCGCCTTAGACCGCTTAGCTCTCCTGCACATAACTCGAAGTCACTCACCCTCAACTCCATAGAGTGTCTTGTTGCTGGAGCAGAGTAAAGTAAAGGTCCATTGAAAGCCTGTACAAGTGTTGTGACAGGGGCAAACGTGCCCGACGACGGCGCGGAACGTTTCCGCGCTCGCTCAACTTAATGGTCTTAATCGTGCATCTTAACTCTTACGACTTACCCACGCTTAATGGCAACTTAGGCGCCTTAATGCCCTTAAAGGCGACTTTAAGGGGCATTAAGTGATTACCTGTTTTCCTGATGTGCCGCGAGGCGGGGGAGAACGACGAGAAGGGTTGACCCCAGACATCTTTATTCAGTACAGCTCGTCTCTTCGGTGTTTCCAGACGATCAACCTGAAAGAGAGGGTGATTATGTGGACGCGATTGTCGGGCGACGTATCGAATACTCCGAGGTTGACCGTTTGTATGGCGAGAAACTCGTTTCCGGGCGGTCTCGGCAGTGTGTCCGAGCCATTAGTTGACCACGAGGTTATCTTGTTCTTCACATTAAATTCTATGCCCCTCTGAGTTTTTTCTGATTGGATTTTCTGTTGTCAACAGCGTAGCAGGGAAACTGCACCGCCAACGGCTTCGACCGTGATCTCAGTGGAATGTGAAGGATGGTCGCAGCAATAGAAGCCCGTAAAGCGGGAACTTACCTCCTAATAGTACAATGTACCTCATGGTATTCTTTCTTTCTTTCTAGATCCCGTTTATTGCCCTGCGAGGCCGCGCCTCATGGTAGGCTTTAAAACACAAAGACTGTCTACACGAAGAAGAGTGGGTATTCGGCGGAACAATGTGAGCACGAGGCTCGAGCAAACTAGGGGGATGTAATGGGGAAGTAGCGGTGACGAATGGTGCAAGGGGAAGGGCTGGGCGGAGACCGGAAGGGGTGGAGTGCAGAGGTATGCTAGTGAAGGATCGGTGAGTGGCAGGGCTCAGTATCTATGCGTTGCGGCCGCCCGTCCACCCTTGGCCAGTGAAGGCTAGGGTGCGGGTTGCAAACCTGCCGCCCGATGGGTACAATTGCGTCCCTGGGACTCGCCTCTTGCTGCGGTCAGGAGTACGCCCGGCGGTATCCCCGCCGTTCGTCAGAACTCCCCTGCCCCTAGAGCGGGCGGACGCCCACAACGCATAGGTACAAGGGATCTGAAGTCTTGGATACATGCATGGCCAGCAAATGTATATAGGGATGTTGTATCATACTGCACACATGTGCCAGTGAGCATAACCTGGGAAAGTATCAGTGATGTCAGCGCAGCAGTCCATACTTGAGAAGTCGTGAATGGGAAAGGCTCAGTGCAGCAGTTTGGAGCACTCTGGCTCCGTGCTTGTCTTTCTTCACGTCCTGAAAAAGAAACAGGGATATTGGCAGTACCGTCTGTCTGTGCGCTATCATGTTTTGTGTCAAGTGTCTGTGTCATCAAGCCGGGACCTTTGTGAACCAAACGGGAGCTGCGTCTGCACCATGCATGCACGCTCTTTCTGCGCCCTAGCACATTGCGAGGGCGCCCTTGGTCCTTTCTCAATACCTTCCTCTACAACATCCCTCAGCTGAACTCTTGTAGCGGAGGCAGCTCTATCGTGCATCTTAGGGACCCATGAATCTGGGTCGCCTGTAGGGAAGAATTGGAGGTGATTCTCTGGGCAGCGAGCATCTAACTTGCCTAGATGGTCTAGGAATACCGGGCACTCCCGGTCCCATGCGGCATGACCCTTCTCATTGCAGTTCACACAGTGATACTGCTGCGGCTCTTGTATCTTACAGTCTGCTGTTCGATGTGAGCGTGCACATGTCCCACATATATCCCGTTCCTGAGGGCATTCCTTGGCCAGGTGCCCTGCACCGTAGCGCTGGCATCTGGAGCACCTCAATGGTTCTGCTAGGTTCTTCCTTACACTTACATGGCGGCCCGCTAGTACCAGACCTGCTCGGATAACCTTGTTGGCTGCTTCTGGAGAGGAGAGCGTAACCAATAGGTGAGCAAAACGTTGGCCTTGGTACCGCTTGTGAATTGGCTTAATCCAGCGAGCATCCACAATTGCCCCTTCCTGAAGATCAAGATCCAGTTCTGTCTGTCGCCATTGTGTGGTATCAGTTGGATCTAACCCAACCGGTGTGAACTCCGCAACCAACTTGTACTGGCGAGGGCGAATCTTTGCCCTTGGGCTCGACACAAACTCATAATCACGTGCGTGCTGCACTATCCACTTCGCCAGGTCTGGTGTGGCGAGCTCCAGAACTACTCCCCCGTTCCGGAGGGCCTTCGCTGCAGTAAAGCGGAGGCCTTCCGGAACGTCAAGTTCTTCTCTCGAGAGGTAATCAAGCGCGTCATTAGCCTGCTCTAGAATCTCCATCTCTGAGAGTGTGCCATCGCGGTTCCCAGGAAAGCCATCAATAAGGATCTGTCGCGCATGGATGCTCTCCCGGTCTACAACACTCAACTGCGCAGCTCGTGTGGTACCAGGGAGGCTCGCTCTTACAGCCTCTGCATAGGAGAAAGGGAGAGAGCCAGGTGATGACTCACCGAGGGGGAGGCCTGTGCGTCCTGCCTCCTGAATGTTCTCTACAGCCCCTTCGATCTTCTCCTTTGCACATTTCGCAACCCCTGCCAGCTCGTTTGTGAGTTCAGCAATATGGTCGCCAGCGGCGGCCACCCTCGCCTCCAGGGTGCTGATGAGTTCTTTTGTCTGCAACTCAAAGCGGGTGAGTACAGCTTCCGTCAATGATTTGCTTACCGCGCTCTCTATGACCACCTTGGCATAGACGGCTAATGCTATGCAACACTCCGACGCCCATGCCATCTTCCCTGAGAGTCCCACCCCTACATGATGAAGGCCTGTGATGAGGCCCTCTGCCGTGGGTTCTCCAGCCGCCGGTACCATCTGATTTTTTCGCAAGACAGCGAGAGCTTCATCCATGGTCTGAATCTTGTCCACCACTGCCGTAAAGGTGGCTGTAGCCGGTGTGGACCGCAGTTGCTTGGTAGGCGGTGCGCCTGTCGCTACGGTTGTTGATGTCTTCCTTGTCTGCAAGGCGGTTTGTGGCGATGCTGCCGGTCCTCGCCTGGTAGCGTCCTGGGGCATCCTACTGTCCGTGTGTATTGCTGCTGTTTCTCGTACGCTATAGACCGTCGCCCAGAGGGATAACTGACCGCACGACGTAGCCCGCTCCTATTGGCTGACAATCGTGGGAAAGCTGCCGTAGGTGGTGGTACGAGTGAAAGGAGCCCCCCCCTCATGGTATTAACTCCAGGAGTCCTGTGAAAGTGGACGCGTGGTGGTGATCATGCCGTTACGTAGTTCTGTCGTCTCGACCATCCGAGCGCCGAGCGAGTACTAACGAGGAGAGACACCCTTGAGAATTGCTCTGCTGACGCTCCCCCTGAAATATTTCTCTCCCCCTTTCCTTTCTATCTGAACCGCGGCTCAGCCTGAGGGGAGCCTCCACGGGTACGAGAGGCCTACGGAAGTTAACCAGCATGCGAGCTACCAACTAGGACATCTAAACCTCTTGCAGGTCTTCGAGCTATCAACGAATAGGAAGTATGGCTGAGAGAATACTCAAGCTGCACAGGGCACTTAGTTGTTAGAGTTCAGGCGTGAGAGTGATCGAGAGAAAAGAAGAGAAGCTGATGATTGCAATGGAAAGGAAGCCGCGACATATATACATAGTGTAGAGTAGCAAAGCGTAGTGGCGCTTGACTGGCACGTCAAGCGCTGCAACAGTGATACAAAGAGCAAACAAACAAAGAAAAGACGCGTGAGGTCCGTACTACAACACTCCCCCTCAACTCGCTACCGGAAGGATGCCGAGTTGCGTACGGAGAGCTTGGAAACGATCTCGTGCGAGTGCCTTCGTAAAGAGGTCGGCGGAATTGATGTCGGTGGGACAGTATTCGAGTCGGATCGTTTCGGCAGTGATGCATTCGCGAATGAAGTGGTGACGGATATCGATGTGCTTGGTACGCGCATGAAGGACATTGTCTTTGGACAATTCGATAGCGGACTTGTTGTCGGCGTTGAGCTTCGTGGCCTCGGTCGGCGCGAAAGAGAGTTCGGCGAGGAGCGCCTGCATCCAGATGGTGTGTCGCGCAGCATACGAGACAGCCATGTATTCAGCCTCGGTTGAAGAGAGCGCTACCGTGGTCTGTTTCTTAGAGCTCCAAGCAACAGCAGCGTTTCCGACGAGAAACGTGTACCCCGAGATCGAGCGTCGGTCGTCCAGGTTGGATCCCCAGTCGGCGTCGGTGTATCCCTCGAGTCGAAGGTTGAGGTAATAAGCTTGAAGTCGCGTCTGACCTTCGCCCGAGTAGGTGATGCCGTACGTGTGTGTTCCCTTGAGGTAGCGCAGGACACGCTTCGCTGCGGTCCAATGTTCTGGGCCATAGCGCGAGTTGTACTGCGAGAGAGCTTGAACAGCGTATGCGATGTCCGGTCGCGTTCCGAGGGCAGCATACATCAGGGATCCGACAACGGCTTGATACGGGCATTTGCGCATTTCGGTGAGGTCAGCGTCTTCAGCGCACTTGACGAGCTTGATGTTCGGGTCGAGCGGTGTGCTGACAGGGTTCGAGTCCGTCATGCCGAAACGCTCGAGGACACGCAGGATGTACTGTGATTGGCAAATGGTCAGCGTGCGTGCAGTACGATCTCGTGAGAACTCTAGGCCTAAGAACAGGGTCGGGGGACCCATGTTAGTGATCTTGACATGCTTGGCCAGTTCTGTAGCAAAATCGTCCATCAGTGATGTGGTATCTGCGAGTGCGATCATGTCGTCCACGTGGACCCCAATGATAACGAGACCGCGCCTGGTCTTCTTGATGTAGACGCAGGGGTCAGAGTTGAGACGCTTGAAGGCGAGGTCTTGCGTCATGATGCGGTTGAAATGGTCGTTCCATTTCCGACCGCCTTGCTTGAGGCCGTAGAGTGCCTTTTGCAGGCGTAGAACCTTGCCGCTTTTGTCGTCGTATCCCGGGGG